CACTCTCAGGCTAACCTACCTCGCAGGGTGGTTGTGAGGATTAAATGGAGGAGGAGAAGAAGAGGAGATTGGATTTATGCCCTGCCCTTCACTCAGAGTCTCAGAGCTGCTTACAATCTCCTTCCCTTCCTCTCTCCACAACAGACACCCTGTGAGGTAGGTGAGGCTGAGGGAGCTCTCTCGAGAACTGCTATTGAGAAAACAGCTCGGAGGGAACTGTGGCTTGTCCATGGTCACCCAGCAGGTGCATGTGGAGGAATGGGGAATCAAACCTAGTTCTCCCAGATGAGGGTCTGTGCTCCTAACCACTATACCACTATAAGCCACTTGGGGGGAAATGGTGGGTTATAAATGAAGTAAATAAAATACTCTCTATTTTATTTCTTATAGTGCATTTCAGTCTGCTTTGTTTATGTTTTTAGAGGTTTTGCTCTTGGGGCTTTCTTGTTTTTATTGCTACTTGTTGTTTATTGTTTTTTCTGATTATTGTGCATTATGTTTCTACGTATATTTATACAGTATGTTTGGAGCTGCGGTGGCTCAAGTGGTTAAGACGCTGAACTGCAGGCTGTGGAAGGTCGGTAGTTCAGCAGTTCGAGACCCGAGTGTGCCGCATGACGGAGTGAGCTCTCATCTCTAGTTCCAGCTCCTGCGAACCTAGCAGTTCGAAAGCAAGAAATTGCAAATAGATAAATAGGTACCACTTCGGTGGGAAGGTAACAGCGTTCCGTGCGCCTTGGTGTTTAGTCATGCCGGCCACATGACCATGGAAACGTCTTCGGACAGCGCTGGCTCTTCGGCTTTGAAACGGAGATGAGCACCGCAACCCTAGAGTCGGATTCGACTGGCTTTCGAGCAAGGGAACCTTTACCTTTACCTTTACAAGGCCTGTCAGCCTTCATATGGGTATGCTAAAGATGCTGTTGGCATGCATCAGGGACTAGACGTTGGGTTCCCTCTGTGCCTGTTCATGGCAGGCCTACAAAGAGGCCTTTAGGCCCTGACACATGCCAACAACATCTTCAGCACACATATACTAGGGCTGACGGGCTGAGAGCCGGTTTGGTGTAGTGGTTAAGAGCAGCGGACTCTAATCTGGGAGAACTGGGTTTGATTCCCCACTGCTCCACATGCAGCTGTCTGGGTGACCTTGGGTCAGTGACAGTTCTCTCAGAGCTGTTCTCTCAAGAGCAGTTCTCTCAGAGCTCTCTCAGCCCCAGCTACCTCACAGGGTGTCTGTTGTGGGGAGGCAAAGGGAAGGAGATTGTAAGCCGCTCCAAGACTCCGCGTGAAGGGTGGGGTATAAATCCTACTCTTCTTCTTCATCATCGTCTTCCTGTATAGTGCCTTTCAAACTTCATAGGCCTGCCATGAACTGGCACAGAGGGGGAACCCAACTTGGGTGGAACTCGTTGTGGAACTCCATGTGTCGCTCCCGCGTTCCTTTAGAAGCCAGTTTGGTGTAGTGGTTGAGTGCGCGGACTCTAATCCGGGAGAACCGGGTTCGATTCCCCACTCCTCCACTTGCACCTGGCTGGGTGACCTTGGGCAAGCCGTAGTTCTGACAAGAGCTGTCCTTGAAAAAAGAGCAGTTTCTGTCAAGAGCTCTCTCAGCCCCACCTACCTCACAGGGTGTCTGTTGTGGGGAGGGGAAGGGAAAGGAGTATGTAAGGCACTCTGAGATTCCCTTGGGTAGTGAAGGGCGGGGTATAAATCCAATCTCCTTCTTCTAGAACACTCAGGCTGCCATCCTAAGCTCACTTACTAGGGCGTGCGTGAACTCACGCTTAGCCTTTGCGCTGTCTCTGCCAGAAGACGCCGTGCTCCTCTGCCGCTTACTGTTTGAAAATCAGCCAGCCAGTTTGATTTGGTAGTTGCAATGTTAATAAATAGTAAGAATTCAGCTTGATAAATATCGGAAGAAACTGAAAGTAGAAATGTGAGAGAGTCAGTCAACTTCTGGTAACTGAAGAAATTAGGCTCGGGTATCCGTCATTCATAGAAGCCTTTTCTCAGCAACATAGACACAGGGCTGGTCCTAGGTACACCCCTCCTCGCCTGGGCTCATAGCACTGTAGCAACACTGGCATGGCCCCCAGAAATGCCAGTCACTTCTCTCCCGCCCCGGTTGTCTATGGTCACCCTCCTTGTGCCTCCCTGGGTCATGGCTTGGGTGACCTGCCCAGAGAACCGGCCATGCATGTGTGCTCAGTTTCAGCAAGTACTTCGACTCTGCTAGTCACAGCATGAAGGAAGGGTAAAGGCATTACTCACGCCAGACTGGCAACAAATGCAAACAATGCCATTTTTGTAGCTACCGTCCGCTGCCGGGTGTCTTCTTGGTCTTCTACTGTTTTTATTCCCGGCTGTTAGTTTAAAGTTCAGTCAAACCGTACCTTGGCCATCTGAATCACACACCATGCTCAGAAAATGAAGTAATACTTCCTGATTCGTTTTTGGATCACTCTCATTTCCTCCGACTTATGACTAATGCTGTTGAGATACGTCTGTTACCCATAAAATGACCTTAGAGAGATAATTGTTAGATCCCAGGGGAAAGCCTCTGTTACAGTTACACATCAGGTTTGTGTCTGCTCTTTTAAAAAAGGAACTAAATACCCAAATAAAGCCAGAGATGGTTTTCCAGATGGAGTTCCTTTGATATTGGGGGGGGGGGAGAGGCATTTATCTACTTCCGTAGGGAGAGGGTTATATTTTCTACTTCTGTACTGCCTATTTTTTATGTGTGTAATATTTTGTGTGTGTGTGTGTGTAAAGTGTCACCAAGTCACAGCCGACTTAGAGCAACCTCTTGCAAGGGGCCTTCAAGGCAAGCGAGAAGCAGAGGTGGTCTGCCATCGCCTTCCTCTGCAGAGTCTTCCCTGGTGGTCTCCCTTCCAAGTACCAGTCCTGCTTAGCTTCCAAGATCGGATGATCTATACCGTGCCACCTTCCATCCACAGTATAATATTATGTATAAGCAAACATTTCTGTTGTGAAGTGGGAAGCAATTGTGTGGGAACTTTTTATTATACAGCCTAGTACTGTTATGACTTGAATCAAGATGTGTGTCTTTAAGACAAGCCATCTGTCCCCATTTAAATGCTACCTTTGAGGTGCAGAAGCCATTTCTGTATAGTCCAATCCACTGCTGTCGTCTACAAGAATAAATCAAAGCTATATAGATGAATGAATGACATGGTTGAAGTACTAAGAACACATTTCTTGGAGTAAGTCCCATTGACTAAAATGGAATTGGTTTCCGAGTAGGCCTGTTTAAGATTACTCTAAAAATTTCCCCCCAGTGACCCGGGCAAGGGTGAGTAGTTTCCCCACATGGTTGTTATTTACATGGCCAATTGGAATGGCATAGTAGGGGCCCAAGGGCATTGGCTCCTAAGCCACAAAAGTAATATTGTAATTGACCTTTCTTTACAGATAAAATTGCAAAGTGTTATCCGCAAACATCCAATAAATGTTGGAAATGTAAGTCGAACGTGGGGACCTTTTACCACATGTGGTGGAAATGCAGTAAAATACAAAAAATACTGGAAAATGGTACATAAAGTTATTTTAGAAATACTAAACTTAGATATTGTGTTAAGACCCGAAACCTACTTATTGAATATAATTCCAAAAGGCTATGATAAGCAAGATATATATTTATTAATATATATCATAACAGCTGCGAGAATATTAGTGACTAAAAATTGGAAAATGGAAAAAACACCCTCAAAAGAGGACTTAATAACAAAGCTCCTAGAGCTAGCGCAAATGGATAACTTGAGTTTAATACTTCAGGCTAAAGACCAAAAAATACAGAATAAAAGATGGTTAAGGATTTATAACTGGATAAAACCTGTAAACATATAGCAAAAAAGAAAAAGAAAAGAGAAAATATTTAATACTTGGTATAAGACATGTAACTTGTTCTAATGACTCTAAAAATGTGTGTAATCTAAGGTAATGAAATGTTTGTAACTAGGTTGAAAATACGAAAAATAAACGTGGGAAAAAAGTGTATATGTAGCTACAAAAAAACCCCTTCTAGTCAGTTATGAGTTGACTGAATATAATCTATACAAGCAAAGTAAACATAGCTACATATACACTTGTGCATGCATATATGTTTTGATCAGGGCCAGAGTTCTCTCTTGTGTGCACCTAAGTCAGTTTGCATCCATAGTGGGCTTGCTGGTTTCTCCTTCTGGCTGTAGCCTTCTCATGCTATGTTGAATTACACTCGAGAATCTGTAGGCTTTGGGGAACAACTTCTGTGGTGGGGGGATGATATGAGAATGAAGGACATGAAAACACACGTAGGGTACCCTGCAGAGCCCTTTGGTCTGGATCCTGGTTTCTGGTTTCCTAGGCAAGTTCACACACAAGTATGTGTGCCGACACCTGATCACTCAACGTTTGGTCAATGGTACTGCATGTGTAAGGGGCTGTGGTGGCTCAAGTGGTTAAGATGCTGAACTGCAGACCGGAAGTGTCGGTAGTTCAGCAGTTCGAGACCCGAGTGCCACAAGACGGAGTGAGCTCCCGTCTCTGGTACCAGCTCTTGCCAACCTAGCAGTTCGAAAGCAAGAAATTGCAAGTAGATAAACAAGTACTGCTTCGGTGGGAAGGTAACAGCATTCCGTGCGCCTTGGCATCTAGTGATGCCAGCCACATGACCACAGAAATGTCTCCAGACAGCGCTGGCTCTTCGGCTTGGAAATGGAGATGGGCACCACAACCCTAGAGTCGGATTCGACTGGCTTTCGAGCAAGGGAAACCTTTACCATTTACCTTACTGCATGTGTAAACTGACTCTGTTGAAAATTGTTGTGTTTCAATGATGTAGAAGTTTAATATGTGGAATACGGTCTGTGATGGCATGTATGAACCCACGCTCAGTTAATTCTACCAAAGCTTATAATAATTAAGACTTATTCACATAACCCCAATTCTATCTGTCTTGAATGACTGGCTGATGATATGTTATTTCCTTACAGGTGCCTGAGATTATAAACACCATCAGACAGGCTGGGAAAATTGCACGTCAAGAAGAGTTTCAGAATAACCTTTCAGACGTCGAGGATCCCTTTAGCAAAAAATTTGAGGTGCTATTCTGTGGCCGAATGACTGTAGCTCACAAAAACGCACCGCCGGCACTCATAGATGAATGTATTGAAAAGTTTAATGACGTTAGTTATACCAAAACCTTGGACTCTGGTTCCTTCTCCCCACAAGACGAAACTGCCAACCACTCCGGAGGATTTTCCATCAGTGATAAATTCCGATCTGTCTTCCAACCCTCAGTAAATGAAGAACAGGAGAAAAGGCCAATGAGGAAATCCTACTCACAGCCTGGGCTGCGTTCGTTTTCTTTCAGGAAAGATCTGGAATCCCGGGGCCTGAGGAGTAACAGCTTTACCAGATCCTTTGATGAAGATGTTGCTTCCCTGAACTTAAGAAGTCGATTTATCCATGGGCAAAATGTGGTGCAGCCGACAGACATTTCAGGGAACCGAATAATGTTGTTCACGGTAAAATGTTGTGTTTGCTAACTTTTCTGGGTCACTGGATAACCAGTACAGGGAAACAGATATTCAGTGGGATGTTGCTAGTTGAACCAATGCAGTTGAGTTAACTGTGTGTTTATGTTTATAGATGGAGAATGGCAGCATGGTTTCCTCTAAGAGTCAAATGGGTCTGCTTGGTTAGTGCGCTTCCATGCTGGCCACATAATTTTGCCAATTCGTCCCCCCAGCGCCCACCCAGTTTTTGCCATTCCAGACCCATATGAAATTGGTTTGCTGCATTCAGGGTAGTGGGAGAAGTTTATAATCTTGGAATAAAAGCAGATCTTGAATGGTCAAAATGAGGCAAAGCAGGAGAGGAGAATGGTTGTAGCTACCCTAGCTGGACATATGTCACACACACACACACACACACAAAACCTTTATTGGCATGAAAGAACAAAACATCATGGAAATACGGGAAAATACTAAGGTGCATCAGTCACTTACACTTGGCTATTCAAGCCTCGTCTTCTGATTGCATAATATAAAAATTTTGCAACAGCCTCCATTATTTCGCGATTAGAATTAGACAGAAGAAAGTGAACAATTGAGTTATCAGAGTGCCAGCTCTAGAAATGGAGTAATAAAACGAGATCGGATATCCCTATCGAGGGGGCAATGAAGTATGGTGTGTGTAGTGGATTCCATATCTTTTAGAGAGCAAGGGCAAAGTCTGTCTACATATGGTATCTGGCGGTACCTCCCTAAAAGCACCTCTGATGGCAGAACATTACAGCGTGCAAGCATGTATGCTCTGCGACGATGTGGGGCTGTTAAACTTGACAGACACTTCGCAGTAGAGCCCATGTCAAAAGTCCCCAACCTGCTTCGGGAGCGTCTGCTGGCTGTGCGTTCCCTAAATTCTTGCCTTTCGATGTCAAGAAATCTTTGTTTAATAATAGCATTGGCTTGTTTATCTGAAAAGGGGGCTAAATAATCCGGGGATATTCCCATTGTAGAGAGTTTCTCCTCTACATATCTAAACCGTGGAGAGAGATGGGACTCAGTTAACATGTGAGTAATAATACTTTTAGCTTTAGCATGGAAATGAAGTTTAAGGCAGAACTGAGTTGTTATCAACCATGCTCTGGTCGACAGAAGCCTTTGATTGGTTTCTAAGCATAAAGCTGCATAAAGAACACAAGAGGGAAGTCCAAGAATTTTCCGCAAGAATCTGGACTGAATTCTTTCCGAGCTGGACATATGTCAATTGCATTATGGCCACTCATTTGAGGATAAAGAAAAATAATGGTTTCCTTTATATTGGCTAACGAGTAATAATAGCAATAGCTCTACACCTAAGAGCCAAAGAAAATGTGACTGTGGTATTTCTATGAATTAATTCCTAAGAATTTATTTCTTTAAAAAAAAATAAGCCCGTGAGATCCAGATTTGCATCCAGATTGCAAAAAGAGGGAGGAGGAGTTAAGTTCTCCCTCCAATGTGCCATTTCCCTGACCTGAATGTTCCTTCCAGCTGCTATTTGCATCTTTGTGGTTGTGGGCCACTTTCACACCAGGGTGGTTCTCCACGGTGGCCCAGTTGCTAACGTCATGCTGTGTGAAATTGCTCTTGCCATGGAGATTCCAGGCGGCAGCGAGTAATCCATTTTCTGTCCATTGTTAGTTGCCATTTTGGGCACTTTTGGAACTTTGAGAAAAGGTAGTGTGGCAGGACCACAAAATGTCTGTCTTGGGAGGTGGGCTCCATCACAACTACTGGTAGGTTCCAAGCCCAATGTCCTCCTGTGCTGGGGACAATGATTTCCGAATGCTCTCTTCCTATAGACCCAAAGGCAATGGCCTCCAGGATCTTCTGATCTACCTCCTGCACCACTGAGTAGAGGGAAAGCAGGACTGGCTGTACGTTTAGGGAAAGGGGCACTTTGGGGAGGAAGCAGACCGGTGCCAGGAAATACACTGTTGGTCACCCTAGCACCTGTGGATGCCACGCTGGCTCTTTTGTGTTTAGGATTAAAACTAAAATATCTCTTGCTCACTGCTGTTCTTACAGGTCTACCCCTCTTCCTTTAACCACACTCATTTGCACCAGCCATTTCCATGTCTGATGTGTCCCTTCGTTAAAGAAACCGACATGAAGTAACAAAGAAAATACTTCTGATCATGTTCACTACTGAAGAACTGCAGTCTGTCCCCACACAGCTAGGATTAAGGATTAGGCAGGTTGTCAGAGATTGCATACAAGCATGAACTAATTTGCTGTGCGGCCGCATTTTGACAAACACCCCCCCCCCCAATATCTCCCGCCACGGTCCCATTGGTTCCCCAGTGGAGAGACCAGGAGCCTTGTCCCCATTGTTCTTCCAGAGTCAAGCTCTGGGGTATTCGCTGGCCCCTGGTGGCGGTTAGCGGACACAACAATCAGACCCTAAAAAGGCCACACAAAGACCTGGCCACAAGTACATGGTTCAGTCTTATCATTTTATGAGTGAGGAACAACAGGGCTTGCAATTTTTAAACAGTAGCAGTTACTGTCGCATTCTTATTTGCGTGTATTTACTAGAGAGATACAACTGCACTACTGCCAACGACACTGGCTACCATCGGTGTTCCCTCTAAGCTGAGTTAGTGTGAGCTAGCTCACAGTTTTTTAGCCTCCGGCTCACACTTTTTTGTCTCAGCTCAGGAAGGAGGGCTCCAGACGAAACCAATTTATACAGTAGCCCAATCGCTCGCTCACAACTTTGATGCCAGTAACTCACAAAGTAGAATTTTTGCTCACGAGACTCCACAGCTTAGAGGCAGCATTGGTTACCGTAGCATTCCACGGGAACTTCCTGGAGAACAAGATGGGGAGAAAAGACTAAGCTTGTCCTAAGAACCAAGGAGCATCGGTCAATGGGATCGTCTTGTCTCTCCTAAGGCAGGAGCTTTAGGAAACCTAGCACGACTCAGCCCAGTATCTACCAGTTGATCACAATCTGCCTTCCCCTGGTCTAAATCTTTTTTTAAAAAAAATTGTTACAGCTTGGCCTCTGGCATTAGTCCGGTACCACCCCCTGCTGTTGCTCTCTTTGAGATCACACCGTATTAGGTTCCCTGCTAGATTCCCTGCACATGACCTGCTTGCCATGCGGGGCAAGCTGTACATGACAGCATTTTATGGGGTCCCCATGACATACATAGAAGGTCAGAAATGGGGAAGGATGGAATCATTCATTTTAAAGTTGATCAAGAGCCTCTAAGTATGGGCAGGACCATGGCAGCACGCTACAAACTCAGTGGACTTCCCCTTTGAAGTTCTGCTTTGCAGACTATGAAGTAATGTCTGAGGTCCAAGCATCCTCCTTCAGATCGCTTCCTTATACAGCCGTTTGCCTTCATTTTGGACATTCCCAAGTCTGTGATTTCCGAATAGGGTTGCCAACCTCCAGGTAGGGGCAGGAGATCTTCAGATGTTTCCAAACCCGGAGCTGGCGATCCTGTTTCAGAACTGTAGCCCAGTCCTCACCCCGATGGACTTCGCCTGCATGATACTTGAGTTCGTGAAGGCACATCTGTCTCATTCACGCTTTACTATTTTGGGGGTATGAGTTCTTTGAAATTTGCACCTAAAAATCGTTCGACAGATCTCGCTCATGATACTTTCCACCAGGGGTCATTTCGTAGAAAAAGAGGTGCAGGAGCTCATTAGCATAACTCATTAGCATAACTTATTTGCATATGCCACACCCCCTGAAGTGTATCAGATGGCAACACCCACTGCTCAGGCTCCACTGAACTGTTTTGGATTGCTAGCTATTGGGGGGGGGGGAACGTGCAGCTCTGTCCTCGCAGAGGAGGGAGAGCTTGTACCTGAATAAAACTTGGTCTTAAAGGTGCCACTGGACTGTTTTGGACTGGGGAGCTGGAGGGAGCTCTGCACCTTACCTGGCTGCTTCTTGCTCTGACTGAGGGCTGCTGGGAGCAGGGGGTGGGGTTTGTTGCATGTGCCCGCCCCCTGGGCTTTTTACTCCTGGAGCTCTGCTCCTATGCACTCCTGTGGGAAATGACCCCTGATAGAAACGCGCACACACAACACAAATTAGAACATAAGAGAAGCCATGTTGGATCAGGCCAACTGCCCATGCAGTCCAACACTCTGTGTCACACAGGGGCCAAAACACAGGTATCAGGTCCACCAGAGGTCTTCCACTAATAGCAGATTTTATTGATCAGCGTTTAACCTAGTCTTAAGTTTCGTACAGGCATAAAGCAGCATTTGGAAATCACTCCAACATACCAGTTAACTCAAGAAAATACGACACGTTGGTTCGCCATACATTCTACAGCTTCAGTCCATTGCTCTGCCAGTGCTCCAGTGTCCATGTAGAGCTCCTCCTTTCACTTCAGTGGAGGGCGGTGTTGCTGTTGTTCAGTCACACAGTGTCCATGTAGAGCTCCTCCTTTCACTTCAGTGGAGGGCGGTGTTGTTGTTGTTCAGTCACACAGTCGAGTCCGACTCTTCGTGACCCCGTGGTGTCGCATGCAAAGAAATGAGCCTTCAGAGCGTTCTCCTCCTTTGAAACGAATGAGGGAAGACTTCACTTGTGTGGGAGTTCTCACATATACAGGAGATCATCCGTGTGTGTGAACTGGAGCTGCTGGGACCCCAGGATCACAAGAGACACAGGGGTTGTGGGCAGTGTTCCCTCTAAGCGGTGGAGTCTTGTGAGCAAAAATTCTACTTTGTGAGCTCCTGGCATTAAGGTTGTGAGCGAGTGATTGGGCTGCTGCATAAATCGGTTTGCTCTGGAGCCATATCCCTTCCTGAGCTAAGACAAAGACGCGTGAGCCGGAGGCTAAAAAGCTGAGCTAGCTCACACCAACTCAGCTTAGAGGGAACACTGGTCGTGGGACAGATCTATTCTGCCTTCCTCTTCCTGCTTCTCTTCCTGCAATGTAGCTTCTGGGAATCATTGGGAATAGCATATGATGGAGCAGAGAGGACCTGCAGTGGGCGGGGTCGTAGCCAGTGGGGGGGCCGCAGCGGGCAGTGCCCCCTATCGCATCTGCTATGCTTTCAGTACACACCCAATGTTAAATAAATTCTTTAAATATTTTAAATGCTCATTGTCTAGGTTTTGAAATCAGCCACTGATAAATGCCGTCTTTGTCTTTTCCAGATTGGCCAGTCTGAAGTTTACATCATCAGTCCCGACACCAAAAAAGTAGCCATTGAGAAAAGCTTTAAGGAAATTTCCTTTTGCTCTCAGGTACCAAGATCTTCTTTCTGCCTTAGTTCTCTGTCAATATATTGATTGACTAATTATTGCTTGTTTTCGCACTAACGTCTGTGTTTGCGTCCACTTTCTGTTGTTGTTTCTGGTAATTGTTTTATTGTGTGGTAAATCAAATGACACAGTTACTTTATTACAGTTCTGATAGTTTTTTTAAAAAAAACTTTGCAGCTTGCAAATACTTTACAGATGTAACTGATTGTCCCCCGCATCAGAGGATTATCGCATTAATTGCACAAAATAATAAAAGTCTAGATTTAGAATTAGTTAAATTAGCTTTTGCTAGCCCAGTATTTCACACATACATTTATTCAGGAAGCTAAATAGGTTGGTTCACATATTTTAAACAGCCAGTGATTTCTGGTAACATAAGATAATTTCTAACAGTCCCATTGAATCAACTCCTCTGTTAATGTTTTTCAGGTTTTAAATCAAAAGTATTGGGCCTGAGATTCAAAGAACTGCTTTAGTAAAACCCAAGGTCTTGGGCATCCAACTTTTTTGTTTGTTTGTTTGAATAGCAGATTTGCACTCTATAAAGCAAAAGGCATTTGAAACTCCCTTTAGTTGAAAACTCCCTTTAGCTGAAAAAACAATACGTCTCATGGCATGGGTTATTGCTGAGAAATGCCGACCCCAAAGCCCTCTGTGGCACTATGTTAAACTGCTTGCACAGTGCTTTGGGCCGGTCCTGAGTTTGCAAACCTTACCATTAGGTTATTAGAAATGCTGCATTTATATGATTAATTCTTAATTTTGTAAACAGCTGTGTATTCAGTTTACAAAGTGAGATTTGGTCACGTGTGTGAGATAAATGAGCATAAAATAATGTGATGTTAAAGTAGTAACCTTTAAAGTAGTAATCTTGAAAGATTTGGAAGGATTGCATTCACAGTTTCTGCCCTGCTTCTTGATGAATTAAAAAGGTAAAGGTTCCCTTGCTCGAAAGCCAGTCGAATCCGACTCTAGGGTTGCGATACTCATCTCCATTTCAAAGCCGAAGAGCCAGCGCTGTCCGAAGACGTTTCCGTGGCCAAGTGGCCGGCATGACTAAACACCAACGCTGTTACCTTCCCACTGAAGTGGTACCTATTTATCTACTTGCAATTTCTTGCTTTCGAACTGCTAGGTTGGCAGGAGCTGGAACTGGAGACGGAAGCTCACTCCGTCATGCGGCACCCAGATCTCTTTTACTTTTACTAAAGCATCCTCACCTGCTTTCTGGAGATGGCTTTTGTTTGGCATAGGCAAACAAGCCCAAGCTATCCCATGTATTCAAAGTCCATATACTATTATACACCGCTCTAACAAGAAGCCCACTGCTAACTCATGAAGCCCTTTTGCCCTGCGGCTTCTCTCCAGTGCCTGCCCTCTGCGAGCAAAAGAGCAGTAGAGGCAGGACCGAGGAGGCACAATTGGCACTGTTCACCCCATCTACTCCCATCTGGTTGGCAGTGCAAATGGAACCCAGATGGAGAAAGTAAATGAGAAGGTAACAGCAAAGGAGGTAAGCCTTAAAGGGGGACCTAACAAAGGCATCTCGCTGAATGGTCTCCCAAAACCCCAGATCTGGCACTGATAGTATCTTTGCTCTAATGAATTTCACTGTACAATTCAGCAAGAGTTAGGCCTTCAAATACAGTTTTAATTTTAAAATGTCCTTATGAAGGATGCCACAGGTTTTTTTCCTAATTCCGTAGTGAAAATCACATCATTACTGATAAAAATGGGAAAGCGCTTACATTGAAGAGGAAGGTTTGTCCCCCCCCCCCCCCAAAAAAAATTGCACGATCGTTTCTGCGGTCAGTTTGGGGTGAGAACGCTGTGTAGCCAGGATTTCTGTGAAAAGTCCGGCCGCATTGAACAGTGTATGCTTTCAGCAACCTAGATTTCTGGGCAGTTTTGACAAGTGTGGTGCCAAAAGATTCTGTTGAGCATAGAACCTTTCAGACAGTCAAATGTCATGGGAATCTCACAGTGTGCTGTACATGAAACCTGATGGTTTAGAGTTCACCTTCACATGCATAAGCAACTTTGAAATGCGAAGGCATCCCGAAAGAAATTTGTCCGACAGTAGAAAAGACTTGCCCTGAACTGGGTGGCCCAGGCAAGTCCAATCTTGTTGAATCTCAGAAGCTACGCAAGGTCAGCCCTCATTAGTACTTGGACCGCCAAGTACCACCAAGGAAGTCCAGGGTAAGGTAAAGGTAGAAGGAGAAGAAGAGATTGGATTTATACCCCGCCCTTCACTTGGAGTCTCAGAGCGGCTTACAAACTCCTTTCCCTTCCCCTCCCCACAACAGACATCCTGTGAGGTAGGCAGGGCTGAGAGAGCTCTTGACAGAAACTGCTCTTTCAGGAACAGCTGTGCCCGAGCTTGTGACTGACCCAAGGGCACATCAGCAGGTGCAAGTGGAGGAGTGGGAAATCAAACCCGGTTCTCCCAGACTAGGGTCAGCACACTTAACCACTACACCAAACTGGCAAAGGTTTCCCTTGCTTGAAAGCTAGTCAAATCCAACTCTAGGGGGTGGTGCTCATCTCTGTTTCCAAGCCGAAGAGTCAGCGCTGTCCGAAGACGGTTCCATGGTCATGTGGCCGGCATGACTAAACACCGAGGTGCGCAGAACACTGTTACCTTCCCACCAAAGCAGTACGTATTTATCTACTTGCAATTTCTTGTTTTCGGGCCAGAGACGGCGCTCACTCCGTCACGCGGCACTATGGTCTCGAACTGCCAAACTGCAGATCTTCTGGTCCGCAGCTCAGCATCTTAAAGCAATGGCAAAGCCTCGACTTGATGGCACTTTACACACACACACACACACACAGAGAGAGAGAGAGAGAGAGAGAGAGAGAGAGAGAGAGAGAGAGAGAGAGAAATGACTTCCTTGAGACCATTCCTGTGTCAGCACTTAGCAGCTTGCCCTCGAGGTCAAATTCTGGCTTTCTTAGACTAACAGGAAATAAATTCCGAAAGTAATGACCCAGCTCCCTCTCCCAGTTAACTTAATTGCTTAACAATTGCACATCCAATGGGGGGAAAAATACCCGCTGCCGTTCACCCTCCCTGGAGAAAGAAGGGCTCATGATGTCACATTCGGCATTCTTCCTGAGAGGCCAAGCTTAGAATCTGTTTCTGTGGTGATGTTTCCGTGGCAATGATTCAGTTCTTCCTCCCTCTTCTGTTATGAGCAAACCTTGAGGTGTTCTATTCCAAGGTGAGACGGGTCTTAAAACTGTCCTAGAGACAGTTGTTGTTGTTCAGTCGCACAGTCAAGTCTGACTCTTCACGACCCCATGGACCAGATCCCGCCAGGCCCTCCTGTCTTCCGCCGTCCTCTGAAGTTTGCTCAATTTCATGTTCGTTGCATCGATGACACTGTCTAACCGTCTCATCCTTTGCCGTCCCCGTCTTCTTTGACCTTCAATCTTTCCCAGCATCAGGGTCTTCTCCAGTGAGTGCTCCCTTCTCATTGGGTGGCCAAAGTATTTGAGCTTCAGTTTCATTATCTGGCCTTCCAGGGAACAGTCAGGGTTGATTTCTTTTAGGATTGACTGGTTTGATCTTCTTGCAGTCCAAGGGACCCTCAAGAGTCTTCTCCAGCACCATAGTTCAAAAGAATCTATTCTTCGGCGCTCGGCCTTCCTTATAGTCCAACTCTCGCAGCCGTACATGACTACGAACCACCCAGAGACAGTATTTATATTTAACACACACTTGTGTGCTTCTTATTATTTATTTAGTATGTTTTTATCCAACCCACCCTCCATGGAGCTCGGGGAGGTATATGTCATATTCCCTTCCTCCGTTTTGCCCTTATAAAGCCCTGTGAGGTCAGTTAGGCTGAGTGAGTGACTGGCCCAAGTTCCTCCAGTGAGCTTCATGGCAGAGTGGGGATTTGAAACTAGGGCCCGATGTGCACAGGTGTTTCCCCTCACTTTCACCATGCCTGTCCGTCGGGTTTTCTTTGTCGTTCTGAATTGATTTTCGTCCCTTCAGCACTCAGTTTGCTTTCTGGTCGCTTTCCCTCTGGCTTTTGTGCCAGTTTCCCCCTTGTTTCGTTTTCAAGCTGAAGGTAATTCAAAAGCATACAGATTCCCTCAGATTCCCCCCCCCCTTCCAGCCCTTTTGCTGCCCCTCGAAGGTGACTCCCCACCCACATCGAGGTTGTTCCACCCACTCTGCATCTTCTGCCATCCTCCCCCCTTCATCGGTGTACAGGTTCCATTTCCCCCTCGTTTTTTAATTTTTAATGGGTTTTTTTTTTGACAAGCAGAATGAGATTGTCACTAGTCTCAGATCGCTGAATCTGAGGTTTAGTTCCCTGCTGGTAACTGCATGAAAGGAGGATTGGTGAGGAGGCAAATAGCAGTGTCCCCACTGCAAAAAAGAAAAAAGGGAAAAAAAGAATTTCAGTGCTGCATGCAAACAAAATAAAGGGGGAAGGATCATCAATGGGGAATGTACACCTACCTTTACATGTGCAGTGAAGGGCTCATTGGCGAGAACCCTGTTCAAAGCTGACAGAGCCAAACCCCACAGCACAGCTGAATGCCGCCTTCATCGGGTTTTTACAGTGTGGCTCGATGGCGGCAGCTGCTGTAGTCCGTACATCTCTCACTGTGAACATGCCAAAACAGTACCACCGCGTATGCTGAATCCATGTGCTTCTAGTGCCTGTGTGTAACCCCCACCCTGGCAATATACTACCAGCAGCAAAATAAAAAAATTAAAAAAAATTCTTTAAATTCTGTCCAAGATAGACGAATTGTTAGGTCTCCTTCATAGGTGAAGGGGGAGAGAGATACTATTGCGAGTGAATCATCGAGGGCTTTACAGTTTTGCTTTAAATTTTGATTGTGGCTAACTGCAAAGTATTGTATTGGTTTTGGAATACTATCCTGTATTGATTTATTCGCACAATTAATTTTCTGTGAGAGGAACTCCAATTTAGTTCTTCTGTGTTTTTGCCTTTACCTTATCTGGAAAACGAAGAACAATATTTTAGGGAGGAGAAAGAACCACATACAGTCGCTCAGCATCCTAAGCTGTTGGGCCAATGTAATCTCTGTGATATCCTTTAAATGATGTAGTAAATCCAAAGGTGTCAAAATTATGAAGAATTTGGCTGTGTATATTGACGTTCTTTTTAGTTATCTGTGCTTACTGAGAGGTATTCCATAAATGTTGATAGGGATGTGTCCATATAGTTTTACATGCCTTTGGGATGACTTGGTGTGCTTTATCTCTTGAAAAATGCTTTTTCCTCGCTGTCCCACTCAGGAATGCTTGTTTGGTGCTTTGCAGTTCTTCTGTTCCCCTCCTCTAGCTCTTCTCTACTGTAGCTAAAGTAAAAGTAAAAGGTTCCCTTGCTCGAAAGCCAGTCGAGTCCGACTCTAGGGTTGCGGTGCTCATCTCCGTTTCAAAGCCGAAGAGCCAGCGCTGTCCGAAGACGTTTCCGTGGTCATGTGGCCGGCATGACTAAACACCAAGGCGCACGGAACGCTGTTACCTTCCCACCAAAGTGGTACCTATTTATCTACTTGCAATTTCTTGCTTTCGAACTGCTAGGTTGGCAGGAGCTGGAACTAGAGACGGGAGCTCACTCCGTCATGCGGCACACTTGGGTCTCGAACTGCTGAACTGCCGACCTTCCACAGCCTGCAGTTCAGCGTCTTAACCACTTGAGCCACCGCAGCTCCTACTACTGTAGTTATAAAACAGCAAAATCCTCTTTTCCGTATTGTGGTTTTTCGGATGATACCACGTATTTCATATCAGTCCTACATGTTCCTAACGAGAGTGCCGGAACCCGAGAAATGGCTCCAGTGTGCTAGAAATCTGGTGATCACCACAGAGACTTTAACCAATCACCTTCTTCTTTTCTGAAGTGTGTGTGTGTGTGTGTGTGTGTGTTAGGAAGACATGAAGGAAGCTGACAACGTGTTAAGATTTGTAGAAACTCATATTAGGCTAATTTTTTAAAAAAATCTTTTAAAAATCTTTTAAAAATCTTGATTAATTTTGAAATATGAGAGATGAATGGGTTCACTTAAAGTTTTAATTAAAAATGAATGTCTTCTGATCAGTTCTTTATTCATGGGTTAAAAGTCCGGGATGAAGAGGAGAATGGGTGAATTGATACTGTTGGCTTTACTGTTTGTGTTCACCGATATCAACCATGACCATCATGGCAGGCAGACACTAGGAAAGGAGGGCAAAAACTCTCCCCAGTGAGCCCTCTGTCTGGCTTTCCAGCACTTTGAAAGCAAGAGGTTCTTTCCCTCCTACATAAACACACAATATTTTCTGGAGTTTAGACAACTTCCCTTGTCTGAGACGAAATACTGTTTCTTTTCTAACTTAAGATCCTCCAGATCTCTTCCCTGGAAATCAGATGGCTGTATATTTGTTATGTTACAGCTTTATTCTCTTGTCAATGCGGTTAGCTGCAACGTTGGGTTTTCCATACCTAACACAAAACTTGTCAAGTACTTAATCATGAGCTAACGGATTATATAAATGTTCATAGCTTTGGGCTAATTTGATAATAAAATTCTTTTTCCTCCCCTTGCAGGGAATTAGGCATGTGGATCACTTTGGATTTATCTGCAGAGAGGCTTCAGAGTATGGTGGCTTCCATTTTGTATGCTATGTGTTTCAGTGTACAGATGAAGCTCTGGTAAGAGCCTTTTTTCTTAAAAGGGGGGATGGGGATACAGAAGAAGGGAGGTCTTGTACGGCTTTGAAGAAGGAGGTGGAGAGGAGATTGGATTTATACCCCGCCCTTCACTCGGAGTCTCAGAGCGGCTTATAATCTCCTTTCCCTTCCCCTCCCCACAACAGACACCCTGTGAGGTAGGTGGGGCTGAAAGAGCTCTTTCCAGAGCTACCCTTTCAAGGACAGCTCTTGTCAGAACTATGGCTTGCCCAAGGTCATCCAGCAGCTGCAAGTGGAGGAGTGGGGAATTCAAACCCTGTTCTCCAAGATTAGAGTCCGCACACTTAACCACTACACCAAACTGCAGGTAACTGCAAAAAACTATGTAAAATATTTTACCAGCTGGCCCTCCTCCAATAAGGTATTCTGCCATAAAGCAGGGGTAGAATCTGATAAGCAAGAGAGCCAGTTTGGTGTAGTGGTTAAGTGCGTGGACTCTAATCTGGGAGAACCGAGTTTGATTCCCCACTCCTCCACTTGCACCTGGCTGGATGACCTCGGACAAGTCGTGGTTCTGATAAGAGCTGTCCTTGAAAAAAAGCAGTTTCTGTCAAGAGCTCTCTCAGCCCCACCTACCTCACAGGGTGTCTGTTGTGGGGAGGGGAAGGGAAAGGAGTTTGTAAGCCGCTCTGAGACACCTTTGGGTAGTGAAGGCCGGGGTATAAATCCAATCTCTTCTTCTATCTGCATTGGTGAAGGTTGTTATGATAGTTGAGAAAACCTTGAAATCACTGTGCTATAGTCTGATTTTGTTGATAATAAAATAGAATTGTTTCTAATGCTGGAAACATTTTTAATTAAGTGGGTTGGACTCTTGGATTTGGGGGGGCTAGACTCTCGGATTAATATACATAAAAATCTGCAGCACATTTTGTTGCAAAGATATAAGGGAAAGGTGTATCTCTGTGATGCCAGGGGCTAGAAACTTACTTTTTAGAAAATGAAAACTGGGAATTCAGAGAACTTGTTACACATGCTGTTATACTGTTATACCAATATAATGATTTTTAGCCAATTTTTTTAAAAACACCTGAAAAGTCTTGGTGTGTGTGGTGTGTGTGGCAGGGTGGTGATGAATACCTGATTCAGGGTGTTCCGGTGCCCTTCATTTTTAGTACTATAACTTGCATCACCATTCTGGGTTTAGCGGCCAGTTTAAAAACATGTAGCATTATTTTCTGAGTTATGCCTGCCACAGACCCTTAGTTTCAGTTGCAAATAGCACAGTGTGGTGGTGGGTTGTCTCACCTGGGCTGGGATTTCCCCATGCCTTTCAGTTTCTGCCATGGAACTCCCACAACCATCCTGAAGCTGGTGGCCAGTTTTGAGTCTTCTAACTTTGTTCTCTGATGAGTTATGCCTGCCAGTAGCGGTTAAAGTGTCAGACTAGGATCTGGGAAACCCAGCTTCAAATCCCCATTCTGCCATGGAAGCTTGCTGGGTGACCTTGGGCCAATTGCACTCTCAGTCTCACCTACCTCATGGGGTTGTGAGGATAAAATGGAGGAGAAGAGAATGATGTAAACTGCTTTGGGTCCCCAGTAGGGAGAGAAAGGCAGGATATAAATTAAGTAAGTAAACAAATATGGACAGATAGGCCAGTTCTTCTATTACTGTAGATTCATTCATGGTAGCAGCAAGCCAAGTCATTTGTTCATTTTGTTATGATATTTGGTTTGGATGAGGGTCAGATGGAATCTTTCTCCGGGGGCCCACGGGGTGGGGGGGCATAATACACATTTTCAAAACAGAAGTCTGAAGGAATAGGAGACGCTGAAGGCTAATACTTGAAGAACTGAGCTAGGGTGGGAGAGGCTCAGGTTCACACCCTCGGTCAGCCATGAAGTTCACAGGGCAGCCTTGGGCCAGTCAAAGATATAATGATGGGGGAGGGACCGTGTGCATTGCCCGAGGACAAAAAAATGTAATTATAATGATTATAACCATGATAATTCTTCTGTATCTGAAGAAGTGAGCAGTGACTCACGAAAGCTCATACCCTACCTCAAATTTTGTTAGTCGTTAAGGTGCTACTTGACGCTTACTCTTTTCTTCTGGTATAATACGCAGTATGGCTTAACCCATTTCTTCTGGTATAATACGCAGTATGGCTTAACCCATTGACTGATCCTGCAGGTTTCCTTTCTGGGCCATTTATGATTCTAAATTTATTTTTTTTCGTGGTTTTAGTATGTTGAATTGTAGAGGGATTTTGTTTGTGTATTTAACGGATTTGTAAGCTTTCTTGAGCACTGGGAAAACACACTTTAAATAACAGTCCCAATTGACGTTAAAGCTCGACACTGTTCAACCGTAGGGGCAGCAGTTAACCTGGGTTTTGCATTCTCTGAGATGAGCTCTGTAGTGGTAAAATGAACGCACCACTCTTCAGCCTTGCTTCTCTCGTCGTCCCAGGTTGATGAGATCATGATGACTCTGAAACAGGCTTTCACAGTGGCTGCTGTGCAACGGACCGCCAAAGCACAACTCCAGCTCTGCGAAGGGTGTCCCATGCAGAGCCTGCACAAACTCTGTGAAAAGATCGAAGGTAGGAACTGCGCAGCGTGCAAAGACTAAGATCATCCCTGGATTTTGCAGAGTGGAAACTTTGGACTTTGTCGATGCTTTTTTTGGTCTTTAATTTAAAAACATTTTAATGCTGAAAGCATTCTTGCATTTTGCAAAGTGGGAACTTTGGCCTTCGTTGATGTTTTTGGGTCTTTAATTTAGAAACATTTTAATGCTTCAATCGTTCTTGAGATATTTGGAGAGAATTCCTTTACAAACAAAATTCTAGTGGATTATATGCCCCCCCAAGACAAGATTTCATAACTATTATTCTAAGCCTAAGTGTTTTTCCTGTGTATGGATGCACTGAAGGTGGGAAAACTGGGGAAAGGAGGAGCCAGGAAGAGGTTCCTATGTAACAGGAGGTGGCGGCGGCTACAAGCATGGTCAGCTTCAAGAGAGAATTAGATAAGCATATGGCGCAGAAGTCCATCAGGGGCTATTAGCCACAAGGTATAGATAGGGACTCTTGGTCTGGGACAAGGGATGCTCTGTCTTCTTGGTGCTTGGGGGGGGGCAACAGTAGGAGGGCTTCTAGTGTCCTGGCCCCACTGCTGGACCTCCTGATGGCACCTGGTAGAGTGTTGGACTAGATGGGCCATTGGCCTGATCCAACATCCAATTTCCACCTATGCCCATTGAAACCTTTAAGGGCACTTATCCCTTGCAGCTTAAAGGATCTGGGGCAGGGGAGTTTTCTTGTTGGAGGCTCAACCCACAAAGTACCACAATACAAAAACTGTAGAAATTGCAGCCCCAGCAGCTGATGAGCTCACAGGGATTCTTATCGAAGCCTCCTCCCTCCTGTTCGTTGTAAAAGCAAATGATTCAGCCAGATAGGGAAGTCATTGTCACTGCTGAACGGCTAGGCTGTTTTGAAAAAACCCTCCCTGAGCCCTACTATGTTGAAGAACCTCCTGCCCGTCTGCAACCTTCCATTCTTGGGCAAAGTGCTAGAGTAGGTGGTTACTTCTCAGCTCCAGGGATTCTGGGAAGAAACAGATCTTCTGGACCCATTTCACTCTGCCTTCAGGACGGGATTTGGAACAGAGAATGCTTAGTTGTCTTGGTGGGTGACCTCTGTCGAGAGCTAGGCAGTGGGAACGTATGTGACCCTGCTAGTTTTGCTGGATCTCTCAGCATCCTTCAATACTATTGACCATAGTATCCTACTGAGCTGCCTCTCAGCTCTGGGACTAAGGGACACCGTGTTACAATGGTTCAAGTCCTGTCTGGAGGTTCATCTCAGAAGTTAGTGTTTGGGGATTCCTGCTCTGCCCCGTGTCCATTGGCTTGTGGGGTTCTGTATGGTTCCATCTTATCCCCCCTGCTACTTAATATCTATATGAAGCCACTGGGAGAGGTCATCAGGAGGTATGGTCTGCGGTGTCACCAGTATGCAGATGATACCCACCTCAGTCTTCCTTTTTCCACCTAACGATGCTGTTGATATTCTGAACCGATGTTTGGAATCAATAATGGGCTGGATGAGGGTGAACATGCTGAAACTTAATTCTGAGAAGACAGAGGTGCTCTGGGTTAGTAGAAAGGCAGACCAGGAACTTCATTTCTCCCCTGTCTTGGATGGGGCTGTACTCCCCTTGAAAAGCCAGGTTCGCATCTTGGGAATGCTGCTAGATACAGTGCTCATCTTAGTAGTCACTTCAGGTGGCTCCAGTGGCTTGGAGTGCAGTGATCCATACCTTAGTTACATCTAGATTGGACTATTGCAGTGCGCTCTACTTGGGGCTACCCTTGAAGAGTGTTTGGAAGCTGAAGCTAGTGCAGAATCTTGCAGCTAGCCTTCTGGTCGGGGCCATCTATTGGGAGTATGTGACCCCAGTACTGCAGCCATTATACTGGCTACCGATCTGCTCCGAAGCCCAATTCAAGGTGCTGGTTTTGTTCTTTCAAGCCTGTGATGCCCCTTTCCCACTCACACAGAGTGCTTACCACCCTTTACACCTCTCCCCCAAGTTCTGGGTTACAAGTGGGTTAAGCCGTCACACTCACTACCCTTCAGTTTGGTGTAGTGGTTAACTGTGTGGACTCTAATCTGGGAGAACCGGGTTTGATTCCCCACTCCTCCACTTGCACCTGCTGATGTGACCTTGGGTCAGTCACAAGCTCTGGCACAGCTGTCCTTGAAAAAGAGCAGTTTGTGTCAGAGTTCTCTCAGCCCCACCCACCCCACAGGGTGCCTGTTGTGGGGAGGGGAAGGGAAAGGAGTTTGTAAGCCGCTCTGAGACACCTTTGGGTAGTGAAGGGCGGGGTATAAATCCAATCTCTTCTCTTCTTCTTCTTCTTCTTCTTCTTCTTCTTTTTAACATATAGTGAGAGCCATGACCATTTCACCTTTCAGGACTTCTCTCTCTCACTCACAGAGATATCAGCAGACAGGGTAGCCCAGCCCCCCCCCCCCCCTAATCCCCCCCCCCCCCCCCCCCCTTAATAACAGGTCCTTACTCAAACACTTCACAGAGTTATTGGGGTTGGGGGCTCAAACACTGTTCCACTCACATGCTGCCACCATTTATTCATACCCTATATAATATGTATTATATATATTAACTTGTGTGTGTGTGTTTCTTTCCCTGAGACACAAAGCCCACAGGATTCAAAAAAGAATTACCTTTTATTTATGGTTTGAACATAACACTGAAGAAAGTAATCTAGAGGCAACAACATTTCTTTTCCATTGAATTTTTCAACTGTTTCCCTATTCCAGTATCCTGGACCTTGTGTTACAAATTGACTCTTTTTAGTCAAATGGCTTTAAGCTGATCTTCACCTCAGCTTCACCCAATCAGACACCTTCTCTTCCCTCTCAGTTCCCTAGCTGCCAACTCCCAACTGCTCTCTTAATTGCTGCTTTCCAACTGTCCACTCACCAACATTCCGTCAGCTCTCATTGGTCATTCCGTCAACTCTCAGGGAGAGGCGGAACCTAACCTGCCTGTCACAAAGCCCTACATGGCTTGGAACTGGGGTGTCTGAAGGACAGTCTTCTCCCATTCATTCCTGCCCAGGAATTAAGAGCACAGGGAGAGGCCCTCCTATCCCTTCCACCAATCAGGGACGCTCATCTGGTGGGCACACAAGAGAGAGCCTTTTCCGTGGCAGCGCCACAATTATGGAGCAACCGCCCCAGGGAGATGCACCTGGCCCCCTCGCTTTCGATCTTCAGGAGGCAGCTGGAGACAGTTTCACTTAGGACTGCATTTGGCTAGTTTGTTTTTTATTTATTGACGGTCCTGACCGAGATTTTGAACTGTCGTCTTTTATGTGTTTGCTGTTGTTTTATTTATATTGTAAGCCGTCTTGAGTGCTGCAAGGCAGAAAAGAGGTTAATAAATGCATTAAATACATAAAATAGATCTCAGGTTGCTGATGAAAAAGCACACTATGGGTTAGAGCTCAAGGGATCTGTTCTGCTGATGGAACTCCTTCCCTGGGCTTTGGAAGAAGACACCACAATTAGTAGAAAAGGTGCATGAGATACAGCCCCATGAGCCCAATCTCTCATAAGTTCAGTTTCTGCCCTAATTTTTGTGTAGTCGTTGGATGGAAGGTTTCTGTTAGGTGGGCTGTGTGAACATTTTGTAACCAATTGGTAGTAGCAGGGCTATTTTTGGGCAGGAACGCACAGGAACGGAGTTCCGGCTGGCTTCAGAGTTGGCCACGCCCACTACGCCCAAAACCTGCGTGCGTGGCTACAGCGGAAAAGCCTGGAGAGCAACCCGCCCCGGCAACTCCGAGGCGGGTGGGCCGGGGGAGCCGTGGAAAGATTGGAGAACCATTTAAGCTAAGGGAAGGCATGGACGTGTGGCCTAATAAGCTAATGAGCTGTGTTGCATTGGGTGTGGCCAATATGCTAATGAGTTTGTGCTGCTGGGTGCAACCTGTTATGCTAATGAGTTCCTGCTGGGCTTTTTCTACAAAAAAAGCCCTGGATAGTAGCATTAAAATGTGTTCTGTTCACCCTGTGTATTTATTACTTTTCAGGGCTCCATCCTTCTAAAACTAAACTGGAACTTCAGAAACACTTAACAACACTGAATAACCAAGAGCAGGTCTCTGTCTTTGAGGAAGTTCAGGTAACTTTTTGTTGGTTTTTATTTTTACTTTCATTTTACTGGTTCATCTTTGGAAAACACAAGTAAAGAAATTTCTTTCAGATCTGTCTTTCTGCTGTTCCTCAATAAGCAAAGGGTGCATCATTTAAACACTGAATGCTCAGTCTCACAGTATTCAGTGAAGATCTTTAAATGTTTTTTGTAGGCTATACAACTCTGTAAGGTAATTTTATTTTTGTATTCCCGATGTCAAATGCAAGGAGGCATTGGTTTGTTTGGCCTTCAGCACTGACTGTTGATCTTTGTAGGAATGTGAATTTTTAGTTTTAAAACTGAACCTGTGTTTCTAGTGAGTGAGGAAGAACAGTGGAAAGAGATTTGCAACAACAACAAAAAAATAAGGGCGGTTCAATATGGAGACCACCAGATTGACATAACCACTGGGTTTGCGGTACAGTGGTTAGAGTGTCAGACTAGGCTCTGGAAGACCCAGGTCCAAATCCCCACTCTGCCACAGATGCTTGCTTGTCCCAGTCACACACTCACAACCAGTGTTCCCTCTAAGCTGAGTTAGTGTGAGCTAGCTTTTTAGCCTCCGGCTCACACATTTTTGTCTTAGCTCAGGGGGGGACGGCTCCAGAGCAAACTGATTTATGCAGCAGCCAAATCGCTCGCTCACAGCTTTAATGCCAGGAGCTCACAAAGTAGAATTTTTGCTCACAAGACTCCACAACTTAGAGGGAACATTGCTCACAACCTAGTTTGCCTCACACAGTTGTTGTGAGGATAAATTGGAGGATAAGAGAACAACGTAGGCCTCTTTGGGTCCTGGGGTATAAATGAACTGAAACAAAGATGTACTTGGCGTTTTAGCTTCTTAGGATGCGTATGTCTGTGATGATTCCTTGTGATAGTGTGTGTATGTCTCTTTAAAGATTTGGTTGCAGTGCAGAATGCAGAGTAGAATGATGGAAAGCGACATGTGGAGTATGATTGGTGGATGGCAGAGTGTGGGAGGAGTTATTCTGTGTGGGTGTGTCAGTGAGAGATTGGAGAATGACAGTTGGAATAAGGACAGTTGGTGGAAAAGCAGTTGATGTTGTGCCGTTGAATTTCAGTCTGTGAGACCTCTGACAATGCTGTGTGGAGTCAGAGAGTGAGAGAGACTAAAGAATCTGTGTGGGATCCGAGAAGGATCGGTCTATGTGTGTTAAAGTGCTACAGTGGGCAAGTTCATTTACAGAAACCTTATTCCCAACCAGTTAAATAATTACCAACTTCTTATTTTGTTCCCCTTTCAATAAATCCTATTTTATTTAAATATATCCCAGAATTCATATCAATTCTTCCTCTGGACCACAATAGATCCCTGAAAAGCCTTGAGCCTGTGTTACCCTACCAATAAGAGAAACAAGAAGGTTCGGAAATCCTTAAATTCCTGGTGGCAGCCGAATCTACCCAGTTTTACAGAAATAAAGAGCGCATTTAAAGAGAAATACAGTCCTCCCTAATAGGAGGTTGTCACAATGTCTTTTTCCCACTAGGCTCTGTCAGTGGTGCGGTCGGGTTGCTCATCAGCGGAAATGGAATTATAGTCATGGTTCCACATGGCCTCAATATCACACTCCACTCCCATTTGCAAAGGCATGATGACTGCCTTCCCTCCCTCCAGCGGTTTAGTAAAAGAGAGCTGTTGCTGTACACCTTGCAAATGTGTGAAGCTTTAGGAAAAGCTACCCCAATCCCTGCTCCTCCTGCAGATTGGTGAGGGGCACCATTCTTGGTCAACTTCAGGCAAGCTGTAGCCAGCCAGGCTTGTTTCTGGGCAACTCTGGTCAATTTCAGGCAGCAGGCCCCCCTCCTCCCCAGACCCCCCTTTTAAAATGAGCTCTCAGTGGTGCTCTTTTATTGGTCTGGGAACAGGTAATTGACATACTTAAAGAGCTCATGCTCCTCCCATGTCAGTGGCAACAGACCTTCAGTCACTTTTCGATCTCCTTGCTATCAAACCATATGCTCTTTAGTTGTCGTCGTATTTAATAGGTTACTTAGTCATGCTATTCTGTTATTTTGTACCAGTGGAAGCAAAACTAAATGTCCAGCTCGGTCTTCATGTGCAAACACAATAAACAATGTACACACAGATGCCTTCCTTCCCCCTTACTGTAATTGGCCTTGGAATTAAACATTTCCTCATCTCATTTCCTTTCTGCCGTTGCAGGTGTTTTAAAGTAGGAGAAGACCAGACATTTAAAACGACATTGTAACTAGGAGTTGGCAGGGCCACCATCTCTCGTACCTGACCCAGTTGCATCAGTAGTGCTCTGCCAGTGCGCGCTGCATAGCCTAATATTGTAATTCTGTTCAAAAACAATCACCACAAACCAGTTCAGGAAAACCTGGAAGGAACCACTAGACTGTGCATCAGTTAGACAGCAATGTCGTCTGGATTCTTCATAACCACATGAATGGCAATTCCAGGCAAAATGGCTAGCGAGGAAGCAACCAGTGTAGAAGGCTGGCTGATCACAGGAAAGGGTGTCACAGTCAAATTCATTTTCCCCCCAACCAGTAGTCCCCCCTCCATGCCAAATGGCAGGCCCTTTGTATGACCCTCGTATGATCTCTTTGGAAGCTCACCATTATCTTCTGTTGTGGCCTTACCCTGAAAATCCCAGGTCGTTTTGAGGTTAGGGCTGTGGTTCAGTGGATAAGCTTATGTTTTGCATGCAGAAGGTCCAAGGTTCAGTCCCCGGCTTCTCCAGTTAATAAAGGACCAGGAAGTAGGTCGTGTGAAAAACCCCTCCCTGAGACCCTGGGGAGCTGCTGCCGGTCTGAGTGGACTGTATTGACCTTGGTGGACTGATGGTCGGATTCGGTACAAGGCAGCATTGTGTATGTTCACATGAGTTTCTGGATAAATTTTATCATTCTCAATGCCTATAAATCTCCCACTAAATCTGTTCAAAGAGCAGTTCGTTTCAGTTTTGCTTTGTAGTCTTTTGTCTTCATTTCCCCTAATCTTGGGGGTTTTTTCACCTATGTCCTAGAGCAGAAGAAGGTTTTTCTCTGTTTCAGCTATGAAACGATCATATCCGCATGATGTCATGGTCTTTGTATTCCAGTTGCCCTTCCCCATCCTTCATATGCCCTTTCCCAATCTGCTTTTTGCTGAGCTTTTTCGGAAGAGTTCAGTCTCAGTACATCACTGGGCAGTCTGTATGGAAAGGTGCACATCATCCAAGGTCTTACCCACGTTGGCGCCGTTTTCCTTTCCTCAGACCCACGGGGCTTCTGTTTTTCCCATTTTAAAATAACTTGATTTAGGGATGCCAAGTCTCCCCGGGGGGCGGGGAAACCCCTGCCCGGGAGGCCCGTTCCCTGCCGCCGCTGGATCGGGCCCCCGGGGGGAACCCCATCCCCAAAGCACGTCACACCCCCAAAGCACGACACAAGTATGTCGGGGACGTTGGGGGCGGGGCCACAATCATCCGAGGGAAAACTGTATGGTTTTCCCTCGGATAATTCTGGCCCCGCCCCCAACGTCCCCGACGTGCTTGCATCACTTCCGTGTGATGTGCTTGTGCCGCGCGCGTGCTTTGTGCGTGCACGAACACTCCCGGAGCAAGGCTGGACTCCCCCGCTCCGGAACAGGTAAGCACTTGGCAACCCTAACTTGATTGCTTTAGTGTTACAGCATTATAAGGCTCTCTTGCAGCAATGTATGAGTTCTCTTGAATACACAGCTTTCATTTTTTAAAAAAAGCTAGTCCATAGCATGTTTCATTGTAGAGACAAACCTTTTCCCCTTTTATCTCTGCAACAAAAAGGGCCAGAGAGACGTGCCTTTTATTTTAAATGAAAGCTGGGAATCCAGAGGAAATAGTACATTGCTGCAAGAGATACTTGTAAACACAACAGCAATCTAGCTATTACTGATTTTTATTTTTATTTTTAAAAAAGCCCTCTGGTGAAAGGGGAAATGGCAGCCACAGTGAGGCAGAGGGGAAATCTGTCCAGGGGAAATCTGTCATGTGGACCCTCCACTGATGCAGTGAACGCCACTGCTTTCGCAGCAGCAAGGAGAGCAATATGGAGAATCAAGCTGTTGCCATCTAGTGGTCTTTTATGATGCAAGCAGCAATTTTAGAGTGGCATACAGTTTAAAATAACTGAGAGTAAATGCCGTTATTGTTGGGTTTTTTCCCCTTCCAAAGAAAATAAGGCCGAGAAACGAACAGAAGGAGAATGAGGTGATAATTTCGGTGCTGAGAAACATGTATGAAGAAAAACAGAAGGATCACATTCACTTCAGTGAAACCAAGCAGGTATGGGATTGTGGAGACTCTTCCTCATAAGGAAAAAGGTTTTTCTTTAGAAGCATTGCCGTCCAAGAGTTGATCTACACTTTAAGAAAAAGGACTGGTATAGCCCGCTGGAGGAGCTGCGGTGGCTCAAGTGGTTAAGACGCTGAACTGCAGGCTGTGGAAGGTCAGTAGTTCAGCAGTTCGAGACCTGAGTGTGCCGCACGACGGAGTGAGCTCCCGTCTCTAGTTCCAGCTCCTGCCAACCTAGCAGTTCGAAAGCAAGAAATTGCAAGTAGATAAATAGGTACCACTTTGGTGGGAAGGTAACAGCGTTCTGTGCGCCTTGGTGTTTAGTCATGCCGGCCACATGACCACGGAAACGTCTTCGGACAGTGCTGGCTCTTCGGCTTTGAAATGGAGATGAGCACCGCAACCCTAGAGTCGGACTCGACTGGCTTGCGAGCAAGGGAACCTTTACCTTTACTTTATAGACCTCCGGAAGAATCTCACATATGGGTGCCACTTTTCGTACTTCTTTTCCTGTTCACAGAATACTAGCATTGTCAAGGAAACAGCTGGGTTAGAAACCTTCACTATACCGAGTTAATTTTCTCACTGCAAGGAGTTTACTAGTTAGGCCAATCACTTCTGATGTGGATCTCATTGCCGCTGCCCATTGTGTTTAAAAACTTTTGGGCTGGGAGGTAACCAGTCCTTTTTTTTTAATTTCTGGAGCACAAAGTTGGACTGGGACTTCACTTATTATGCAAAAGGATAGTTGCTTCACTATATCAAGTTAATTATGTGGTGTGCAGAGAATTACGAGGTTCCTTCATGTTCTGCAAGACATGACTGCACAGCTATAGTGGCAGGGCTAGTGACTACTTCCCAGAAGTAATCAAGCAACCAAAAAACCAATTTGATCTGTACCTGACCAGCTATGCTCTCTCTAAGCTGTGGAGTCTTGTGAGCAAAAATCCTACTTTGTGAGCTACTGGCATTAAAGCTGTGAGCGAGCGATCTGGCTACTGCATAAATTAGCTTGCTCTGGAGCCCTCCTTCCTGAGCGAAGACAAAAATGTGTGAGCCAGAGGCTAAAAGACTGTGAGCTAGCTCACACTAACTCAGCTTAGAGGGAACACTGCGGACCAGTGAATTGCTCAAAAGGAGGGGCCAGGCTCCAGTCAACAGCTTTAAAGAGCCATAATAGGATCCTGTTGGTTCTCTATATTACCTGATGCCTGTTGGACTGAAAGTTGTAGTACCCCTCCTGGCCACTTACAGGAGTGGCAGTGCAGAGCAGTTGAGACCAGATCATGGTAGCACAGGGCGGAAGATGCCGGCACTTTGCTTCTGGAACCTCCCTGCAAGAACCATGCCCCCTTATTCTTGTCTTGGGGGGGTAGAAAGCTGTTTTGAACACATGGTTAAAAAAATGCTTTGCTTTCTTTGAATAAAGAAAAAAATCACCCAGTAAAATTTATTTATTTGTTAGATTTATATCCCGCCCTCCCCGCAAGTGGGTTCAGGGCAGGTAACAACAACAGCGCTTACAGAGTCATTAAAACGAGTTATCACAATAAATTGCTTAAAACCATTTAAAAGATGGTGAGGTGTACCTTAATTTATAAGGCTCCAAAAGACTAGATAGATGACAGAACAAAGAGTCACAGCAGAAATAATAATAGCGTTGCTTTACACAGGCAGATCTAATAGGGCAGTTTTCAGCAAGGGAGGCCCAATGATTGGGCGTCCGCTGCCTCAACCCAAGGCCTGGCAGAACGGTTCCATTTTACAGGCCCTGCAAAACTGTAATAAGTCTCGCAGGGCCCTGATCTCAAGTGGGATTCCACCGGATGGGGGCCAGGACGGAAAAGGCCCTGGTCGAGGCTAAGCGGACATCCTTTGAGCTGGGGACAGCCAGTACATTGTGAAGACCTTGAGTTCTGTTATTAGAGAGTCAATATGGAATGTTTCCTTCAAGAGTTAAGTAGTAATTGATAAGAATTGTGATTGCGACACGCTCAGATGAAGCAAATATTGTGAAACAAATTGTTTACATTGCGCAGCATTCTTTAGCGTGTGAGCGATAATAGAAGATAATTTTCTTCAGAATTACTACAGTAAATGGTTTTGCAACATATCTGTATTGACTTCATTATTTTTGTCATGGATGTTGTTGGATTTCCACTTCCTCCTGTGATCTCTCATTTTTGGCTTCTAGTACATGTTGGTCAGCAGAGCGCAAGGCTCTCCAAGGGACATATTGGGGAGGGATGGTCCCTTAGATATGTCGGTCCCAGGCTGCATAGTTAAGATATGTCGGTCCTAGGCTGCAAAAGTTAAGTCACTTGGAACCTTTCAGTTCAGAGATTGTACGTTGATTACAGCAGTCCACGTAGGAAGTTTTAGAAAACACTGATGGATACAGCTGTAGTTTGGGTAATCCTTTTTGTGGGATCTTGTTCACTTCTTTTAATTCCCTTTCCCCTTTGTCTTTGTTTTCCTTAACTTCTTAGACGTCACATTCCTCATTAGAGGCCATGGGAAACGAGACCTCGAACAGTGCACCCCGGTTCAAACTAGATATGTTGAAGAGCAAAGCTAAGAGGTCACTGACAGAGTCACTGGAGAGCATTTTGTCTCGGGTAAGACTATTCAGTTTTGTTGATCTTGTGCTTAATGACATTGTACATAACTCTCTCTCGTTTCCTTCCTGTCTGAAATACTTAGGCAACTATCAGGACAGTTTTAATGAAACTCTTAAAATCAAAGAAACTTTAAAAAATATTCTTAAGATTTTAAGATATTCTTTTCGATCTGTGCCCTCAGCTGTGAAATATACGTCACACCCACAACGGCTTGGGCTAGAAGGTCCCATTAGCAGTGATGGCCTATGGGTAGCAGTTGCATTATTACTGTGTCTCAAGAGATGCTCCGTTGCTAATTTCTGTATCTGCTGCCTTATAAGTAAGCCACGCCCGAAGGGGGGGGGGAGATTAAAATGTGTAGAAAAAGTTACAGAACTCCTTCGTTTGCAAAGGCATATTCAAAGAAGGTCTGTCATTTTAGATTGAACTAAACATACTGCAGTTATCCTTGCTGAACAGCAGAGCAATACAGGTACAGTTCACAGTGCAGTGCAGTGATTAGAGTGTCAGACTAGGTGGGGGACCCAAGTTCGAATCCCTGCTCTGCCGTGGAAGCTCGCCAGACAAGGTTGCCAGTTTCCAGGTGAGGTCTGGAGATCTCCTGATATTACAATGGATCTTCAACCTAAAGAAATCGGTACCCCTGGAGAAAATGGCTGCTTTGAAGTGCGTCTCTGTGGCATTCTACCTTGCTGAGGTCCCTCCCCTCCCCAGGCTCCACCCCCAAATCTCCAGGAATTTCCCCACACAGAGCCGGCAACCAGATCATCAGGTGACCAAGGGCCAGTCATTTGCTCTCTGCCTAACCAACCTCGCAGGGTGGTTGTTGTGGTGATGAAAGGGAGGAGGGAAGAGTGATGTTATAAGTAGCTTTGGGTCCCCATCGGGGAGAAAAATATCTGGGTAAAAATATTGGGCGTAAATATTTCAATAAACGAATGAGACGAGATGAACAGTTTAAAAGGACTACACATTAGCACAAGAAGAAGATATTTATAGGACTGGAAATATCAGTCCTACCACGCTACAGCTATTCTTAACGACCCCTTGTCGGCCGTTTTGGGACACGCCAGCCATTGCCTATGGTCCAAGCATGTGATTGCCGACATAGTTGTTTGTTGCTGTTTCTGAAATTCTCTTGCAAGGTGTTAGATGTTGTTTAAATTCTCTGTGAAGGTCACTGAAACTTCATTGAGCTTTTCCCTGATCTCCTATACAAGAACATGTCAAGAGTATTATCAAGAAAGCCGTGACCCGCCCTGACCGGGCATGCCCGATCTCATCAGATCTCGGAAGCTGAGCAGGGCCGACCCTGGCAAGTACTTGGATGGGAGACCTCTAGGGAATACCAGTGCCGGGAGGCCAGAGGCAGGCTATCAAGCGACTTGTCTGAATGTCCTCCGTACCCCAGTAGGAGTCCAGTGGTTGCCAAGATTCCAGGCATGGGGACACACACACAAGTGCAAAAATACAAAAAAGAAAAGGGGGGGAAAGAAAGCTGTGACTCTAGCATTGCTTGCAATCATTTTTGTGTTTTTTGCTAATCAAACTTCTTTGCTTTGTTCAGCAGTTTTGTTTTTCATGGCTCACAGTACTTGCCTGGCAATGATGATTGAATTTATTTATTTATTTAAAAAGCCCTGAATAAGCAGACATTGTTTGGCTTTCTCTTAACATTGAAAGGAACCAGTAACACTGAGTGCACGAAAGGAGCACTTATTAAATTAATTTTTGGCAGTTGGTGTTTGTATATACGCCAGCGTGACCTTTCTGAGAGAGGCTGTTGTTTCTTCCATGCAGACCGGCTATTCTTAGACTACTCGGGAAATTAAATTTAAAGAATGACCTCAACACAGTGAGGATCTTTGGGGTCTAAAAGTTTCCTCAAAATTATAACAGCTCTTTGAAAATTGAGGCTTGTTGGTGCATATGAATCAGTATCTCTGCATAATGTATAATCTATACCGTTGTTATTTTTTTAAAACACAGGGAAGTAAAGCCAAAAGTCAGCTAGAAAGTTCTGGAAGCACTGATTTGGACAGTTCCCTGTCTAGCACTCTAAGTACTACAAGTAAAGTAAGTAACACCACCACTGAACATGAAAATGTAAAAAGTGGCAGCCCATGTCACAACATTCTGACCTTCTTTGGGTTTTTCTGTATTCTCATTTTCCCTGCTTGTGTGTTCCTGCTGCTTTTTTTTGTTGGGGGGGATGTTTCTGTTCGGAATGTGTTTTGCTCCTCCTAGTGGTTGATTCGATATTACATCGCTTTATGTCCAGCATATCTCCCTACGCATTTAAACTGCAGGTTTTTATGCCCAACATGAAGCGGTGTAATATCGAATCAACCACTAGAGGCAGCAAAACAGAGAAGAATAACTCCTGAAACAAGAGAAACACACCAATGAGGGGAAAATGAGAATGCGGAAAAGCCCTTTCTTGATATGTAGATGAATAATGGGGACCTCCAATATATTATTATAGAAAATGTTGGATTTTTTTTCTGTTAAGGAAATAAATCGGGTTTTTAATTTGTTTTTATCCTGCACCTTCTAACAAGCTAGTCAAAGTTATTAGCCCAGTTTTTGTAGTCTCCCCGCTGGCGCGTTTTTGGTGTGAAAGAGGAAAGTGAGCTAGTTCTTATCTAATGTTTGAAAAGTTCCCTTCTTAGTCATCTGGATTGGATTCTTACCCGTCGCAATTAACTGTGTAATTCGCTTTGAGTCTCTGTGAGAAAGGTGGACTGTAAGTATAGTAAATAAGTAAGTCAAGTGGCCGCTTCTGCCCTTCCGTCTTTTAAAATTTTGTAATAGCAAGCCTGTTGAGGAGCTCTGTTGAGCCCTCGAAGCTGGCACAGTGTTTTGTGCTAATTTGGTGGGCCCAATAAGAGGCATTACGTGGATTTTGTTCCTGCCTTTTTGGATTTCACACGGGACAATATTGCTGTACAGCTTTTTCTGCTTACAACAAACCATCTCATGGCAAAGACTGGAGCATCTGGGACCCACGTCAGAGCTCACTGCCCGAAACGTCTTGTAGTTCTCCCCCTCTTAAGCCAGGCGAATGTTTACCTTGGGTTTCCTGCAGTGTTATCCATTGTTGGGCTCAGTTTGTGCAGCAGATTTAACCAAAAAAAAAAAATTGCTATCTTTCACAGAAGTTGACAAAAATTAATTTTAGGGGAAATAATGTGCTGGGTAAGCACTTCCAGCAGAAACGATTCGGTAGCATGCCCTCTCCGCGGGCAGATGTTTGGTAGATTTCATGTCAGGGAAAGGTGGCACTGGACAGCTGCAATTATTTATTTATTTATTTATTTATTTATTTATTTATTTATTTATTGGGATTTTTACCCCACCCTCCCCGCGAAACGGGCTCAGGGCGGCTTACAAGGGGCAAAGCCCATATAAAACAGGATAGAAGCAATAAAAACATTAATAACAATTAATCACAAACAACAATGATACTCAGTTGAAAGCAGGATGGTCCCCAAATATATGCAATGATGGTAAACAGACAGTTCTCTGGGGATGATGTTGTCCTGTAGCTGATCCCAAGCAAGTAAGTCCGGTGATATCAGTAGCGCAAAATTGTGGCAGATCTTCCCGGGCCTTCCTTAACCCCGATGTTGTCCACATCATTGGTGGTGGTGGTAGTGGCGGTCCTTATGTGAAAACCTGGCGGAAGAGCTCCGTCTTTTTTTCCTACATTGCTCACATCAAGGGTAAACAAGGGAAAAACAAGTCACAGTAAAACTCTTAATGAAAACATAGATGCATTCAGTTTTGAGAAATTTAAAAGTCACGTTTGCTATGCCATGTAATGTTTAGATGTGCAAACCCTTTTCACTGGCAGGAAACATCCCTGTGTGAGAAAGAGTCCCTTCCCCCAGAGTCCCCACTGAAGGCTACTGGCTCAGTGAGCAATCTCTCCAGTGAACCTGAGAGCCCTCCTGCCGACCAGACAGCAAAAGCAGCTTACCAGGGCTTTAGACGGCGAGCAAATACCCTGGGCCATGTGCCAACGGAAAGCCAGGAGTCCTCAGAACCCGCCGAAGCATCGCCTTCTGTTCCCCAAAGGAAACTTATGAGGTATCATTCCGTGAGCACAGAGACTCCTCACCAGCAAAAGTAAGACTGGGTTTAAAACAGGATGTTTGGAGGGAGAAATTTTGGGGGGGGGACTTGTCGCGGTGCCCTTTCCCTAGCAGATATGGCCGTTTTAGAGAAAGGGGAGAGCGGCGCCCTTCTTATCTCGCAGCAAGACATTTGACAGAACCAGCCGCAGCGTCTTCACGGACTTGAAACGCCTTTTCTTATTTAAAGGTTTAATTTTTAAATTCTCAGGGAACGCCAAGTATGTTTTCCATTCAGGGCTGGAAAAGGAGATGATGAAGCGCATACTTCTTGAACGAAACTCGTAAAGACGCTTATTAATTGAGGACGCTTCTGTCACATTAGCTAGATTTGAGTCCGGGAGCATTTTAGAGACCAACAGGATTGGGGGGGCGGGGGTTTAATAAGCTTTCAAGAGTCAACTCTCCCTCGGTCAGAGTCTTTTTCACCTTACAGTTACCTAACTCAGTGGGGGGGTCGTGATTAGGGTTGCCACCTCCAGCTTGGGAAATTCCTGGAGATACGGTGGGGTCCCTGCGGAGGGGAGGGCATGGTGTCTTTCTAGGACTTGTGTTTTGCCTAGACTTTCAGTCTGCCCTCCAGAGCTGCCATTTCCTCCAGGGGGAAACGACCTCTGTAGTGTGGCGGTCAGTTATAATTCTGGGAGAACTCCAGGACCCACCTTGAGGTTGTTAACCCTAATCGTAACACAAGCTCTTATGCTTGAGAGAAAGGCTGTTATCGTCGATCGGAGACTAGAACTCTGGCACGTGATTCTATCTGTGCAGAGGTCCTTGTTTCCTTTGAAGGGAATACGTGCACCCAAAGGGATGTAACAGCATTTCCCCTTTAGAGAAGAGGAGGGGAGATGGTAGGGTTTAGAACAGTATGCACGGAGAAAGACTGCTAAATAGCTAGCGAATAAAAAAGGCTTTTAAAGGGTAGAAAGTATGCTGTTCCCAAGCTGGTGAATTGAGATCGGGCACCTATGTGGTTTTCCCTAGCAGGTTCCACGAAACTATGCATTTGACAGCAGTGTCATTACTAACTCACGTCTAATGTTGCTTTGCTGCCCATATTCTTCATGTGTTTGTCTTCTAAACATCTGCATGTATGGTATCCATAGCTTGCTGATGCTGATGGGATCTCCCTATTCCTCTGTGCTTTCCCTCTGTTATTGTACACTTGTTTTCGTGCAAAACACCCGCTAGAAATTCAACCTTGCGTCAAATCAGGTTTTCCTCCCTATACATACAAGGCTGATTTTTTAAGAACTTGCCTGAGATCAGTGAGTTACTGGGGAAAAAAGAAGAAGGAAGAGTGAAAGAGAACGGCAGTATTCAAAAGGAAAACATAGCCTGGGTTTCATCGTTCCTTCTCTGAACATTGTCATGTTCTGTTCTTTTCTAGATGGCTTTTTCATTGGAGTTTTGGACTCTTAATTCTTTGCAGAGAACATTGGTCAAGATGCTATTTCCGACACGTAGATGCTGGCTTGATAGAAGTTGATTTTAGGGCTTTTCTTTCACAGCTCACCTTTGAGCTACGCTACGGGGAGGTTTCCCTAGGATACTGTGAGGATGTTTTTGCTAACTCGCCCAGAGTGAACTGAAGGAGTGGGAAGAAAATAAATCAAAAAGAAAATGCCTTCTTGCTAACCAAGCGGTAAAGCACTGGCGTGGTGTCTTCACGTTGAATTACTGTAGGCTTGCAGTGCCTCAAGACTATACAGTGAGACAGCGTGGTGTAGTGGTTAAGAACTGGACTAGGATTAAACCCAGGTTGAAATTTCCACTCTGTCATGGCAGTTTGCTTGGCCAGTCACGCACTCTCTGGCCAACCTACCTCACAGGGTTATTGTGAGGATAAAATGGAAGGGAGGAGAACAACGTAAGCTAGTTTGGATCACCACTGGAGAGAGAGAGAGAGAGAGAGAGAGAGATGGGCTTTAAATGGAGTAAATAAATACTAATAATAAATACAGTCAAATGCCCATTGCCCTGGCCATGGCTGTGCAAAATCTGTGCAGAATCTTCCCCTGCATCCAGAGCGGTGGTTATTCAAAGTGTAGATTCTGTATGTTCTGAATGTTTTCCAAGCTAACTGGCTGGGCTCAGGCTGAAAGGAATCCAGAGATGCTGTTGAGTAGGCGGAAATGCTCTGTACTTCATTAAGGACACGTTTACATTACTTTCCCTTGTCATTAACATGCTGCAAAACATTCCGGGTATCTCAGAGTATTGCATCACATATCCTAATCCTGCATCTCCCCCCCCCCCCCCCATTTTGCCGGGTGCCTTGTAGGTATTGTTTGACACACAGGAGTTTAGTGCACAGAATCCACTTTTCAGAGCTTTGGGAAGAACACCTGATGGGAACTGATTTAGACTAGGCGTACATGTAAAAGTGGGGGAAATCTGATAATCTTAACAGGTGCCGGAAGCAGGTTTTGTGTTCTAACTGTAGATCCTAGCATGTTTTGAATGATCAGCTCTTCTTCGGGAAGGGAACAAACAAACAAAAAACCAATTACGTCAAAAAGGGCTAGGTGGAGGTTGGAGCACTGTGGGAAGCTAAGAAAGGGGTGGGCGATAGGAGAAAAGGATGTATGACAATTTGAAACCGTGTTTAATCTGTTATTATATCCTAATAAAATGTTTTTTTGGGGGAAAAAAGGGGGCTACAACCGGCTCTGTCCAACAACGGTGCAGCCCCATGGGCTATGTCAAGAACAGATACAGCAAGGCTATCTTCTTTAGGGCCCCTCCTTTCTCTGTTATGAGGTCATTCCCCCTGCCCTGTGTAATGGAACTGCTCTGGCAGGTAGCCCCTAGCGCAGGACTTACTATTGCGTGGCACTGTCGCTATCGTTGCTTTCCTGATGAATGGAAAATGGAGCAGGCAGTCTTGGTCTCCAGCCATTCAGAGACTTCTTCCAGACATGGGGAGAAGCCAATCAATCAGGCATCCTTACACGTTGTCTGCCTTAATTTATTGTTTTGTTTGCCTGCCGGCCTATCTTCCTAACGGAGATCCCAGTTCACGCGCTCCATGCTGCTGGCGTTTATGTTATTATTTAGCATCAAGCAACAAATAAATATACACTGCAAAAACCTTATAACAAACGAATGTGTTCTATTTATAATCATTATTTAGTAAAGTGCATAGTGTATCACTATTTCATCCTAATCAGGTATAAATATTCATTACATTCAATAAGCGATAACATTCAGTACATACAGATTGATAACTACCAGACCATTTTGCATCAGTGTTTTAAAAGTCAAGCCCCAACGGGAGTTTCCAGAACTAAAAGCCCGCCTCTCCTTGCATGAAGTCTTCCAAAAAGGGGGGACAGCTTTCTTAATAGTTGTATGGATGCTTTCTTTTGCCGGCCCTACAAAAGACTATTTAAAAGACATAATTCATAAGTATAAAAATTATACACTATTACTAATATAACTTGGCTTCAAAGGTTTTCTTACCCCATTATGCAACTAACATTCATGGACGGAGTACTCCTGTCATTCTCAAACCTGCATAGTATTGACCCAGTTCTCTGGTCATTAAACTCTTTCAACACCTGTTAACAATTTGTGTGAGTGTTCTCTAATTAAACACTTTGATTCCAATCATCCTTGGCACCTTAAGACCAATCTACCATATGGCCAGTTTCTTAGGATGAAAAGAAACTGTACTGAAGAAAAAGATTTTATTGGTGAAAGTAAAATGTTAACAAGACACTTGAAAAACCGGGGGTATCCAAATACTGTTATTCACTCAGCTTGGAGACGCTCTAGGAAGAAAGATAGAAAGGGAACAGAGGTCATTTCGGGGGGGAACGCGGGGGAACTCGCACTCCCGCCAGCCTTGCAGGTCCACCGCCGGGCCCCTCATGGGGCTCGGCAGTGGAGCTGCAAGGCTGGCGGTGGCAGCTGGGACCATTGGGGGCAGGATGTGTGGCCTTATGACACATTTCCAGTGATGTCAGGTGGTGTGGCCTTATGACACACTTCCGGTGATGTCAGGGTGTGTGGCATATGCTAATGAGTTATGCTAATTAGTTCCCCTAGCTCTTTTTCTACGAAATGACCCCTGGAAGGGAACTTTTATATACAGAAAGAACAACACAGATAGACTCTAGAATTTTATGTGCATTCCAGTTTAATAATCTTTCTATACAGATAAGAAAAATTCTGAACAAGTACTGGCATGTAGTATCCCACATACCAGGATGCCAACAATTCCCTCGTGGGATACAGACGGCCTAAAACTATTAGAGATTTTCTGGTAAAATCAGATATATATAACCAAGCTCAATATGGACAAAAACAAAGTACTATACAAACAAACGGGCATTTTAAATGTCAAAACTGTTCTATATGTAACAACTGTTTTGAAGTAAAAGAATTTTCCTTGGAACCTTATCTGAAAAATTACTGATTGCCACATCTTTCCACCTGTGCTAGCAAAAATATTGTATATGTAGCCTTCTGTGGGTGTCCAAAATATTATGTGGGCAGTTCCACACGATCATTAAAAATTCGTGCCATGGCGCATAAATCAGGACTGAAAAGAAAATTTTAGATGTGCCCATGGTGGAGCACCGTATGACAGTACAACATTGCTTTGAAGATGTTCTTTGTTATCTACAAGTATGAGAACCAAAGCCTCAACCGACAAGACATCAAGAAGATCCTTCTCTGCAAAGAAAATTTTTGGACTCATAGGCTCCATTCATTGACCCCAGAGTGAATGAACCAAGCAATGGACCTTTCATGCCACTTATGAATTTGATCACCATCTTACTTAGACCTTAAGCAAAGGGAGAATGTCCTCTTTATCATAGAAAAGATTTGTTCTGGTCTTAAATGCATACTTTAAGAAGTGTTATGTGAAGGTTTGTTACTGTCTCTGAAATTAGAGAACACTCACACGAATTGTTAACAGGTGTTGAAAGAATTTAATGACCAGAGAACTAAGTCAATACTATGCAGCTTTGAGAATGACAGGAGTACTCCGTCCATGAATGTTAGCTGCATAATGTGGTAAGAAAACCTTTGAAGCCAAGTTATATTAGTAATAATGTATAATTTTTATACTTATGAATTATATCTTTTAAATAGTCTTTTGTTGGACCAGCGAAAAAAAGCATCCATACAACTATTAAGAAAGCTGCCCCCCTTTTTGGAAGACTTCATGCAAGGAGAAGCGGGCTTTTAGTTCTGGAAAATCCCGTTGGGGCTTGACTTTTAAAACACTGATGCAAAATGGTCTGGTAGTTATCAATCTGTATGTGCTGAATATTATTGCTTATTGAATGTAATGAATATTTATACCTGACTAGGATGAAATAATGATACACTATGCACTTTGCTAAATAATCATCTCCCTTATATATAAAAGCCGAATGGTGGTGGCACTTCTCTAGAACATTCCACACGCTCCAGAATTGGTTGGCGCCCTGGTGTGTCACTCAGAATCTGTCCCTATCCACTGGCTGCATTGCTTGAGTCTCGCCTCCAACATTCTGAACAGTTTGCTGTTCCTCTCCCTCCATAGCCAGTCAGAACACAGAGGTTATTTGCATACGCAGCCTCATTGGCCTTTGCCTCGGAACACAGAAGTCATTTGCATATGCGACTTGATTGGCTTTTGCCTCTAACATTCTAAACAGTTTGCTGTTCTGAGGTAAAATATGTCCAATCTCCAGGTAAGGGCTGGAGATCATTCAGAATTACAACTGCTTTCCAGATGGCAGATATCAGTTCTCCTGGAGAAAATGGTGGGCTCCGTATCCTTATATGCTGCTGAGGTGGCCCCCGTATGACAGCCAATGTGACATAGCAGTCAGGGCTTCAGAGCACGGGAGAGGCTGCAGGCGTGTGGGGGGTGGAAAGCTGAAGAGTGAGGGGGAAATAAAGGTAGGTTGATGATTGGCTGGGCAGGTGATAGGGTTGCCAACTCCAGGTGGGAAATTCCTGGAGATGTGAGGAATGGAGCCTGGAGAGGGTGAGGTTTCAGGAGGCATGGGACCTCGGACAGGTACAAAGCCATAGACTCTACCCTCCAAACCAACCATTCCCTTCTGGGGAACCATTGTTGCCAATCTCCAGGTGAGGGCTGGAGATCACTCAAAACTACAACTGTTCTTTAGGTAGCAGAGATCAGTTCCTCTGGAGAAAATGGTGGACTCAGTGTCATTATACCCTGCTGAAGTCACCACAGCAAATTGACACTGAGTGTCCAAGGCCGGGGCACCCGCCCAGAGCCTCTTTCTAGAACTTGTTGTATTTATTTCCACAACGAGCCTTTTTCCTAGTTATAAATAGAACACACTAGTTTGTTATAAGGTTTTTGCAGTGTATATTTATATTTCTTGCTAGATTCTCCTAACACTGCAGCTCGGGTTGCTTCAGCATTATTTAGCATCAGCCTGACATACTTAGTGCAAAGGTAGTGATATATCTTTTTTTTAATTTTAACTCTACCGTTTTCAGTGATTTATCACAATTCTTTCTTTTTCTTTCTTTGTTTTGTTTCTGCCTTTCTTCTGATTTTCCCTGCTGGGATCCTTGTATAATTTGAACCCATCTGCCAGCAGCTCCAAAACTTCTTCTGACCAGTCTCCAGCCTCTCCTCCTCCTGCAGCTCATCTTACTTCCTCGGCCTCCTCGCCCAATTTCCTTAAGCGTCTTAGGCATAATTCCGGCGGAGAGCAAAGCAGGCAAGCTGTGCCAAAGAGGTGAGAGGGGCGGAGTCTTGTGTACAGTTGGCTGTGGATGAGTTTACAAGCATGTCTCCCTAAATTAAAAAAAATCCCAGCACATTTCCATCAGACTCTCAAAAACTGCTAATCCTCCAAAAGTAACCTGCCATTTCCCCACATATCTTATTTGTGGTCTAATTAAAAAACAACAACACACCAACCAAAACAACTGTGTTAAAACATCACTACCCCAGGTCACATGGAAATGATTCCTTTGCACTGACGAATAGGCAAGTAGCTGTCTGTAAGTTTGATGAAAGTTTTAGAAGGTAAAAACTACACAAGCGTAAAAATAAACTGCCCAAAGGGAAGTGCCTGGGAAAAAGCAGGGTGGAAAGCTGAACACTCCCACCCATGATGTGTAGGGGGTTGGACTAGATGACCTGCAAGGTCCCTTCCAACTCTAACATTCTATGATTCTGTGATGAGCTTTAAATTGCACCCATTTTCCAACTTCAGAGAAAACTAGAAGTCTCAAAAAATCGGGGGTCATGTTGGTCCACCGTAATACCCCCAAACAGGATCTTGTAATACCTTTGTAATACCCAGCCAAAATGACACACTGGTCCTTTCCGCACTTGGATCTCATCCCTGGTTTTGTCAGAGTTCAACTTGTGACACAATACCTTGCATTTATCCTTGGTTATAACAGCATCTGTTTATCCCGGGACAAGTGTGAGGTGAAACTGGGGTAACCTCAGTGTAACGTGGAAACAAAAGATACCCCGAGATAATTACAGGGGTGAACTCGCGTGTAGTGTAGAATGTAAAAATACCTCGAGATAATTACAGGGGTGAACTCGCGTGTAGTGTAGAATATAAGTTCGGGGAGAGGATTTAAGGTCTAGTGCAGAAAGGACCACTGTGTGAGTGTTTGAGTTCTCTATAAGTCTTCCTCAGGATGAATGTTTAAAAAAAGCAGGCAAAATGGTGTGTGTGGAGGATCTGTAAGGCACTGTTGTGAAAGACCTCTCCTTTTCTCTGCATTCTGTGTGGGAATTGAAATCCCATCGAAATCAACAAAGTGTCTAACATCGGATGCGTGACTCTCGCCTTCTCACTTTTTAACATCTAGTCTGGTGAAGTGTTCTGAAGAACATAAACACTGGCACATGGCTTTTGTTTTTGGATAGTCGTGACTATATGCTAATATAGGGGTCTGCTTCCATCATGTCTCACTTGCCCATAATACATGTCTCTGTTCTTTTACTCATTTTCCTATATGATTTTATCATGGTGGCTTGCGTGCTAATAAATTACATAGATGCAAGCTGACATCCCCTGTTACAGCAATAAAGGTAGAAGGTACAAATGTGAGTAACAGACTTCCAGCATGATGGCATTTTGCTTAATCCCATCTCATCTCATAAGTAAATTCCTGGTAGTTTTAGATATATCATATGACCTACATAAGAAACGCTTTCACGTGTAAATTGTTGCATGTGTCATGAAATAGCTGCTCGAATGATTTATCGTCGTTCATACACCGTTTTCATGCTTTTCTCTACACAGATGTCCTTTCCTCGTAATATTTTGAAATACTCCTTATTTACATGGAAGTAAGAACCAATTTGAATGATCACTGATGAGTGATAAGATGTACCTTGAGGGAATAGAGGTTGAATGCCCCCCCCCCAAAGCCTCTGAAGGCACGTCGAAGCAGTCATATGATGGCTTTACCATATATCAGACTCTGTTATTGTGTATATTGGAGGAACATTCACATGACCAATTCATCTCGTGGCTGATGTAGAAAAGAACTCAAACTGCATTAATTCAGTGTTTTCACTTGAAAATCTTCATGTAGACTATGGTTGCCAGCCTCTAGGCACTGGAGACCTCCCAGTATTGCAATTGATTTCCAGACTACAGCGATCAGTTCTGCTGGAGAAAACGGCAGTGTTAAAGGAGGGACTCTATGCCATTATAACCTACTGAAGTCCCGCCCCAGGCTCCACCCTCTAATCTCCAGGAATCCCCAGCCTGGAGTTGGCAACCCTGATGTGAACCCAGCTGAACTCCCGTCAGGGCCATAGCTAGGCAGGAGCGGTGCCCCCCTCCCGAATCAGCAGCGCCCCTACACCAGAAGGTGTACTGTGCTCCTTATGGCCACCGAACTCCAGCGGCTGTCAAACAGGCTGTGGTCTGTCCAAGACCCACCCCATGGTTTGTGCAGATGGCCGCCGGGCTCCCACAGGGGCTGCCATGGCCACGGGTGCTGAGCAGGCCAAGGCCCTACAAACGGCCTCCAGGCTCACATGGCGGTGGGCGCCGCAGCCGTCGGCCGGACTGTGGCCTCCGACCCAACCCCCGGGCTCCAATGTGACCCGACCCCCAACTCTGCTGTCCCCCTCCCCACGGAGCCTTTGCCTGCCTGGAGTTTTACAGGCCATTGCAGCCTGCAGGTCAGCCAAGCCTTCCCAGCTGGAAAGATCTCTGTCCTAAGGTAGCTGGGGGGGGGGGGCTAGGAGAGTGGTCTCCGATTTTATTTTATTATTTTTGTGATGTCAGAAGTGATGTCATGCCCCCCAGTCCCCCCCCCGAAAATCATCTAGCGACAGGGCTGACTCCCGTTAATTTAAGTAGAATACATTTCCAGTTACGCTCCATTTGACAAACTCAGTTCGTCCGGACTACGATATAATGTGGATCATCTG